AAAAAGCCATGAGTTCCGTGCTTTGCTTTCTCCTCCTCTGGAATTCCGCTGCTCTCCTTGTTATTGAAACTGCACTCCTTGGTAGGTGAACTTGGTCCTGGCTGGGTTTCTTGTTGATCTTCTGGGGGAGGGGCCTGTTGTAGTGATTCTCAAGTGTCTTTGCCCCAGGTGGAGTTGCACCGCCTTTACCAGGACCGGGCTCAGGAATCCACTCAGGTTTGCTTTCGGGAGCTTTTGTTCCCTGAGCGCTTTCCGTAGAGTTCTGGAGGACGGGAATGAAGATGGCGGCCTCCCAGTCTCCGGCCCGGAGGAGCCGAGAGCCTGGGGCCCCACTCCTCAGTACGCCTTAAAGAACAGCACCCAATTACTCCCATTACCCTGGCCTCTGGCCGTGCTCTGAGCTGACCGAGCCTGTGACCGGTTCAAGGTAACCCCGAGCTTAGAGCTCACTCCTCAGCTTTGTCTCTGTAGCCGGCTTCCCCGTTCTAATACCTGTAAGCTCTGCGACACTCAGACACCCCCGATCCTTCTGTGACCCTGCGGGACCTGAGGCCACGCTGGCCCCGCGTGGGCTTCACCCCGGTTAAGCCTCTGGAGCGATGTCCCTCAGTGGAACAGACTTTTAAAAGTCCTGATTTTGTGCTCCGTTGCTCCGCCACTTGCTGGGAGCCGGCCCCTCCCCCCGCGGTCTATCTTCCCGTCGCTTTGGATTCACTTCTCCGCCAGTCCTACCTTTCAGAAAGTGGTTGATTTTCTGTTTCTAGAATTGCTGTTCTTCTGTTCAGTCTCCTGTTGGGTTTGTAGGTGTTTGCACTCTTTAGATAAGCTATCTAGCTGATCTCCTGCTACCTGAAGTAGTCTCAGCCTGCTACTTCTCCGCCATCTTGACCTATTTAATTTTTTTTTTACAGTATTTACCATAGCCAAGATATGGAAGTAACCCAGATATCTATGGACAGATGAATGTATAAAAAGTTGTGTTATATATGTACAATGGAATATTACTCAGCCAGAAAAATCATGAGAACTGCTATGTGCAGCAAAATGGGTGGACCTAGAGGGTATAATGCGAAGTGAAGTAAGCCAGACAGAGAAAGACAAATAACATATGACTTTATTTACATATGGAATCTAAAAAACAGAACAAATGTACAAACAAATAAAAAACCTGAATCAGACCCATAGATATAGAAAACAAATTGGTGGCTGCTGGAGGAAAGGGAGATGAGTGATGGATAAAACAGGTGAAGGGGGTTAAAAGGTACAAAATTGAAATTAGAAAATAAAGGAGTCACAGGGCTGAAAAGTGCAGCATAGAGAATGCAGTCAATAATATTTTACTAACATGTGCCAGATGATAACTGCACTTGTGGTATGTTCTAAAATGTGTAATTATCGATTCACTATGTTATACACCTGAAACTACTCTACTATTGTATGTCAACTCAATTTCAGTTACAAATAAAAAGAATTAGGGGTGTCTGGGTGGCTCAGCTAGTTAAGCATCTGGCTCTTGGTTTTGGCTCAGGGCACATGATCTCAGGATCATGAGATCCAGCCCAGCATAGGGCTCTGTGCTGAGGGGAGTCTGCTTCTCTCTCTCTCCCTCTCCCTCTGCCCCTCCACCCACTTGAGCTCTCTTTCTGTCACTCTTTCTCTGTAAAATAAATAAACAAATCTTAAAGAAATATAAAGAGTAAAAGAGATTGACAACAAGTTAGCATTGTATCTCCATTTTCTGGTTGTAGAAATTAAATCCCAGAAAGGTTTATTTAGTCAGTAATCCACAGAAAGTGGTGGAGATAGAATTCAAACCAGGTGTCTCCAGCAGAGGGAGGTTAACTGACAGGAAGAGTTAAAATAAATAAAAAAATATCCTGTGTTTCAAGTTATAACCTGAACTATAGTTGAGCCTCAACTTCGCCATATTGTCTTTTTTAAATCTTTTAACCTTTCTAAGTGTCATTGTCTTCCTTTGTAAATTTTGAATAGTATCTGGAAGAGCTTTTGAGGGAAAAAGAAAAATACTTTAAAACCAGTTATTGCATAGTTATATAATAGGTACTTGTAATAGATGGGGACCACTGAGTATTTGTAGCTTTTAAATTTCTTTTGGTAAATGATTATTCCCTACCACATATTAGTTAACAAGGCTATATGAAGAAAAAATAATTTGGAGTTATCCTAATATATATTTTAATTAATTAATTAATTAAGCTCTCCATATATGTAAAGATCTGAGAAATCATTATATCCGGCCCTGTACTGGGAGTATTTTCTCCTATCAGGGATTTTTATCCTCTTCATTTCTTTTCAGAAACATCTCCAGGGTTCCATCTTTATTATACACCTAGAATAAATATACACTTTAGACATAAGACTTTATTCAAAACATCTCTTCCTTTAAGAAGAGAAAGTCAGGGACGCCTGGGTGGCTCAGTTGGTTAAGCAGCTGCCTTCAGCTCAGGTCATGATCCCAGCGTCCTGGGATCGAGTCCCACATCGGGCTCCTTGCTCATCAGGGAGCCTGCTTCTCCCTCTGCCTCTGCCTGCCATTCTGTCTGCCTGTGCTTGCTCTCTCTCCCTCTCTCTCTCTGACAAATAATTAAATAAAATCTTAAAAAAAAAAAAAAAGAAGAGAAAGTCATTGTCTGTCATTTCCCCCAATTTATCCATGTGCTTTTTCTTGTTCCTGGAGCTTGTATCCCTAGCAGTCACTAGAATGATGTCTTCCAAGGACCTTGGCCCTGATCTAGGGTTCTTTCTAACTGGGTTCTGGGAATGAGATCTGGCACTTTTGACTTAGACCCTTAAGGCATAATGACAATGACTTGTTACTTTCCACTGGTTTGAAATCCTACAATGCAAAAACTTTATGTCAGTTTCTGCTTTTCTTCTCCTGTCTTCTGCCTCTTCTTTTAAATGCTCTAATCTCTAACTTTACCCCTTGAGAACTACCAATCAGTAATGAATGTGTGTTTGGAATTACAGCAGGGTACACTGAGTTGTAGTGCCATTTGGCAAAAGTACGCTGTCTTCATTAAAGAAGGCTTGTTGGCCTGGGAAACTGTTACATAACAATATTCAAAAAGTCTCTTCTGAGAGAGTCTTTTGGAGTCCATATTGAGAAATAAACATAAGCATATGTGTGATCCTTTAATGAGTAACAAATATGTACCACTACTATAGGATATTTATTGGAATATTTGGAAATCAGTAGTTTCTTCCCCCTGCTCCAATGTTCTTTAACTTTTGAAGAAGTGTCACTTTACATCTCTGTTAAATTTTCATTATCATTACCCAGAAAATTCTCATGGTTTCTCAGACATATAATGGTAGGAAGAATAATGATCCAAGTCCTATCCTCAGAACCTGTGAATATGTTAGGTTAAGTGGCAAAGAGGAGTAAAGTTGCAAATGAAATTAACGTTGCTAATCAGCTAGCTTTAAAATAGGGAGAATAACCTGAAACTTTTGAGTGAGCTCACTGTATTCACCAGAGTCTTTAAAGTGAAAAAAAGAAAGCAACAGGAGAGAATTAGAAGCAGGAGTGACTATGGAGGAAAGACACAAAGACATGCAACAGATCTGGCTTTGAAGATCTGGGGAGAGGACAACAAGCCAAGGAATGTAGGTGGCTCATGGGAGCTAGAAAAGGCAAAGAAATGGATTATCCCCTAAAACCTCTAGGAGAGGTTTTAAAATCAAGCCAGCAGCTTGATTTTAGCCTACGGAGACCCATGTCAGACTTCTACAGAATTATAAGACAATAAATTTGTGTTGTTTTACATTGTTTAATTTAAATTGTTTACATTTGCAGTGATTTGTTATAATGGCTGCATAAAATTAATACACATGGTTTCTTTCCTTCTCCAATAAGGAGAGAGATGATAAACTAGTGAGATTTATATGGGTGTTGAAGGCAGAGAATATAAGCACAAAATTAGAGAAGGCATTATAAAGGGGTGTTAATTCCTCCTTTCCTTCCATATTCTTATTACATCTCTTTCTACATGCTACCAAAATAATTCTCACTTGGAGATACATGGAGGCACTTTGACCATTTAGAGATTTGAAATAAAATATAATCCCTGCTGGGTGGAAAGGGAAGGCCTTGTCTTCTTCCAGAAGATAAATAGATTATGATAATACAATAACTATTTGAACCATCTAGGTAGGTTGAAACTGTTACACCTTAAGAAAAAAAGAAGCAGTTCATGTGTATTGAAGTTTTATGTAATTGTGTCTTAGCAATTTGTTCAAATGATCTTTGCTAAAAGAGAGAAAGGGGCTACTGAGTAATCTTAATACAAATCTTGAAGAAAATAAGATGCTAGACCTTGCTGTGAATCATAAATGATTGCCTCTTCACCTTTTACAAAGACTCAAAGCTACTTTGGTAGATTGCTATCAGAAAATCAGTGCCCCCCAATCAGTACCATGAACAGAACTAAGCAGGTGAAAATCTTGAGTCGATGGTCAGTTTACACAGTCCACATACAGCACTGAATGTGAGAAACTTCTGGAAGAGCCACTTTGACTTCTGTTCTCTTCACCTCTTTTCATTTTCTTTTTACTTGTGACATTTTTGAGTGCAATGTAATGAGCACTGTAGTGTGCTTGAACTAATCCCCAGCATCTATAGATAAATGGTGATGGGGATAATGAAAGAATTTTATAAAACATCCAGAGTGTAGAACAGATTTATTAAGTCTTTGTTACAGTTCATAAAATATATGAATGAGAATTTGGAAGTTTGAAATATTAATTCAAAGCAGAGATGGCCCTAACAGTTTTCCATGATATGTGATTGATAAATTGATGCTTATAGTGTAGGGTAAGGTTTGGGGAGAGAAGACGAGGAGAGACAGGGGATGGTTTCCCTTACTCAAAGAATTGTAAGGTAAGTTCTGTAATTTTAAATATTATTTTAAAAGGATATAGAGCATAATTTGAAAAACAAACAAACACAAAACACAGGCGTGTCTTTCATGTTGCAGAGCATGTTGGACTGGATTCTGTAGTTGCCAAAGCCAACACCCTGGGTTTTGTTGGATGCCTGTCTTCAGTCCAGTATAACCAGGTAGCACCCCTGAAGGCAGCCCTGCGTCACACCACCATTGCACCTGTGACTGTCCATGGGACCCTGACGGAATCTAGCTGTGGCTCCATGATGGATGCGGATGTGAATGCAGTGACCACAGTTCACTCTTCATCAGGTACACAGGAGAATACTCAGGGAACTGCCTTCTTCTGGTAGCACTACTTTCGATATCTTCAAGAAGTTCTAGGTTGAAGGCTAGTATTACACAAGTCCTTACTTTATATGATTACAGGTAGTTAAGAATTATGACTGGTTTCTTATGGTTGAATTTTATATGTATTGAATATAATCCTACTTTTAATAGATGAGTAGTTAGAACTCAATAGTTAGTAGTTAGAACTTAATACTCATATATATATATATATATATATATATATATATATATATATATTTTAGGGTCAGAAAGAGGAAGGCTGGTTGTTGAACTAATGTAATTCATGTAATTAAAATCAGCCTTCCATAATAATAGGAAAGTCCCACACTATTATCATCCATAAATCTTCTCTTATCTTACTACTCCCTAAAACACCTTCTCTGTCTTTCGTTACTCACCATCATCATAGTGTCTTGAAATATCTCTAGGATTTGTCTTAATCAAGCGTGGTAATCAACTGTCAAAGAAGTTATTAATCATGAACTAAGAAAGGGGACTGCGTTTTGCTGCTGCCTACTCATCACCAAGCTTGGTATTTTCCTGGCAGTAGTGAGGTATAATAGAAGGAAAAAGAATGGGACAGTTGACTAGCCTTGATTTGAATTCTGATTCTGCCATGGATAAATTCTATAACTCCAGACAAGTTACTAAATAGCTTCAATCTAATTTCCTTATCTGTGAAGCAGGAAAAACAATAGTCATGTTGTAGGCATTTCCTTGAGGATACAGGGATACTGATGGCAGATGCTATAGGTCTTGAAAATTCCATGTGTGCTATATGCATATGGGTATCATTACCCCCTTTTAATACATTTGCAGATTTGTTATTTAAAAATGCATCTAACTTACTGTCACCAGGCCAACAAGTGGCAGATCAAGATTCAAAGCCAGGTCTCCATGCCTTCAAATTTGATGTTCTTTCTTCTTCTACCATACATGTTAATGTACGTGTAGTGAAATGCCTCTCTCTGTCAGTGAGGGTTTCTTGGGGGTGTTAATCCTCCAGCACTTTTGTCTTTCCCTGTCAATGGACTCCGGATCCTTGTGCAGCTAAAGAAACCTCTGAAACAGAAATCATATGTATGCTTGAGGTAAGAGGCCATTGTCATGAGGAGGGAGGGTCCAACAAAGCAGAGAGGGCCCTCTAGGTTAGGCCAAGAAGTAAACTGTAGGCAAAAGCAGATATGGGTGGGTTCTACCATCATCTGTTTCAGCCCATTATCTTATAGCTGATATAGAAGCTAATAGTTACAGAACTATGGGGTGGAAGTTGTGTACCTCAGGAGCTTTTTTGTGTGTAAGTTTGTTTGGGTTTCTAAAAAAATGTAAGCTCACAACTGTTTGAGAGCACTTGGTCTAATCCAGAGATGTGTCATCTCGAATCCATATTGTGCACCTCCTTCCTGTATCCAGAATGAGGAGTGAAATGCCATGTCTTTTACTCCTTGCAGATCCCTTTGGGAAGACAGATGAACGAGAACCACTCACTAATGCTGTTCGAAGTGACTCGGCCGTCATTGGAGGTAAGTCATTCCTTATTGCTGAAAGCAGAGGGGCCATAAGCGATTCTGTACTTGGGAGAAATTTATTTGATTCCTTCCTTAATTATAGCCATCTAGTATCCAGAACCCTGCATGATCTTCCAGACCATGAGCTTTTTCATGAATAGTCATGGATGTGATCAAAGGCACCCTTTCGCCTATCATCCCCATCACCATGGATTCATCCTGCCCCGATCCATGAGGCAGCTGACTACTGAGTCAACAGCTGGAACATTTACTTAGTGACAGGCAGTGTGCACTCCGTTCATTTCATCTAGTTGTTAGTTTTCCTAAAGCACAAACAAAGCACACCAATAAAACATATGGGAGGAAGCCATGTTGGGTCAGACAGATTGGTGAAGCCCCAGTCCTGTTGGTTTTCTCCACCAAGTGATTTGGGTTGGATCTAATGAGCAGGGTGAAGCCCATAGGAATGGAGTTTCCAATCTAGCAGCACATATGGTTATGGATACAGATCTTGTCTGCTTTGCTGTGAGCTCAGTTCTCCCTCCTTCCTCCCCTGTCTTTCCATTTTCTCACTGCCTTTCGGTCTCACCCCTTTTTGTCCTGCCACAGCCTGGCTGCTGCCTTCAGTAACTTATTTTTTCTCCCCCCCATTCTGGGACTTGCAACACAGAATGATTCCCAAACCTTGTTTAATATAAGATGCCCATGAGAGACTGAATTCATTGCAATCCAAGAACCATAGCCCTAGCAGGTACCCCCATTGCTGCCTCTGGCAGGCTAAATTAGTGGATCCACACCAGATGGAGTTCTTTTAAAAGTCAGCAGTATCCATTCATTTAACTTCTATTTAATGAATCTGAGCTAAGGGTCAGGCCCCACACTGAGCATAGGAATACATGGGTGAAAGCCATAGATGCTGTCCACAATGAACTCACAGCAACCATGGAACTAGAAAATGATATTTTGAGGAAGGAAGTGCAAATGCTTGTGGGAGCACAGAAGTGCACTATTATAATGTAGTTGTGAGGAACGAAAACCATGTTAAGGAAGTTCTTAAAATGTCTGACCTGAGTTTCTGCTTCAGGGAAGAGGGTCCAACCTGATTTTTGTTTGGAAGCAAGAAACACAGGAAAGAATGTAGTGCCTGTTTCTCTTGCTAAAATTTCACGTTTGACAGGGGGAGAAAAGACTTGTGACTGCTGACATTTTCCCACTCAGTTACTTAGAGGCTTCTGTGAGCCTCTAAGAACAGGAAAGGCATCTCAATCCTTTGGGAAAACTCCTCTAACTCTGAACAGTCTGTGTACTGAAGGAGTGGAAACTGATTCCATATTTTATCCCATAAAGCTGCACCCCGGTCAGGGGAGTAACTCACTACCACCCAGTGTATTCACATTTGTTAACTTAGGTGGTTTTACTCTGTTGCATTCTTTAAACCAAGTCTTGAAGAAATAATTAAGAAGTCCTTTGCCAGGGAAAACGCTGCATAGTGGTTTCTGAATATTTAAAAAAAAAAAAAGTATGCAGTCTTAATCATGGCCCTGGCGCTAAAACAAATCAGGAGAAAATGGGCAGTCAATATATTTAACTCTTAAATGCCCATGCTTATGTAAATCAGGATACAGGATGTCCAAAACTATCTTTCTAAAAGAAACGTATTTTGTCACTATATGTTCTACTTAGAAAGAAAAACAAAAACATTAAAATATGGGCTTTCTTGGGAATAAACTTATATTTGAATATCATAAATACTTCTCATATTTTAATGTTGAAAATCCTACGTTCATTTATAGAACAATTCTCTCTTTAAAAGTCACCAGTTCCTACATTTTCACCCTCTTTTTGCTGACTTTGCTTTTCGCATCCCGAGAGGCTTCTTGGCAAAGGTACAGACAAGACCTTCGAGTCAGCGAGGGCAACTTGCCGAGTAGATGCAGTAAAATCACATGCAGTCAAAGCAGGCAGAAATCTGACCTAACTGGAAGAAGACTGTCATTTCAGTTGGCTCTCAATCTCTGAACGACAGAGGCATACTGTCTCTGAGCTGTCCCATGCCTAGCAGAGTGCACAGCAGTGTAGGAACACCCTACGTGTTTGGAAAGGTTGTCATTATTAACAAAACATGTTCAGCAAAGCAAGCATACACCTTAAGTGAATTTACATCAGGAGAGCATGTTTTGAAGTCTGGGACACTTCACCAATGGTTTTCCAGGGTGCTAAAGTAGTTCTGAAATACTCAGTTGCAAGAAGTGGGAAATGATTAAACATGACAAATGTGCTAATTAAATGATTCTGTTGCATTCTTTAAATCAAGTCTTGAAGAAATAATTAAGAAGTCCTTTGCCAGTCTGAGTCCATGTTTATATGATGGCATTCTCTGATTTACACTGGTTTTCTTCCTGGCCAGTCTGAAAGAGGAGATTTTTTTTAGTAACTGAAGACTGAACACATTTCAGCTGGACTTCAGTTCTGGGCATGCAGCAGTTTGTTGTTTGGTTTCTTTTGTTTCTTTCTGCTAAGTGGCTTCTCTGTTTAGGCTGAATCACCTCTTTTGAGTGCATGGTCTGATGATTTCCTTCTCTCTTTCCTTCCTCTTTATCGACAGGAGTAATAGCTGTGGTGATATTCATCATCTTCTCTATCATCGGCATCATGACCCGGTTCCTTTACCAGCATAAGCAGTCACACCGTACTAACCAGATGAAGGAGAAGGAATACCCAGAAAATTTGGACAGTTCCTTTAGAAATGACATTGACTTGCAAAACACAGTGAGCGAGTGTAAGCGGGAATATTTCATCTGAAAACCTGCAGGGTCACCTAATATTCTCTTTTGGGTTGTTGTTAAATTTTTCTCCTTTCTCCTATATTTTAATTTTGGTCATTCTCCTTTTCCTGTCTGCCAATTATTTTTGGCACATACCGGTATCAACCACAGCATCGATCCCCTTGATCCAGCCCAGAAGATCAGGCAGCTATGGCCACTGCCTTCCTTTCTGACAAACTTATTGTGGTGATAATGATCACTTAAGAGACTGACTTTACTCCTCTAGACAAAGAAGAGACACATGTGTGCACATGTGCATATTTAGTTATGTATTTCCAGTTTCTAAGTAAGATGCACTCTTTAGTTCCATAGCCATTCTGTCTCTCATTAAACCTCAGGCTTACTCTGAACCTGAGCTCTGTGACTTACGCGTATGACACTCATCCTTGACATCCTCCCCCACCTCAAGTTCATTCCTACCAGGGAACTCAGGGTAAAGAAAAAAGATGCTAAAGGCCTGGTTCACTTCAGTGACACTTTTAAAGGAATAAGAGAGGTTTGTTTTGTGTTGACTTTCCTTACCATAAGGACGCCCATAGCCCTAACTCATCACCTTTTTTCACTTTGACTCTTATCCCCTGAGTATTTCAAATATAGGATTCCTGATAGTAGTGAGCTATTCCTTTGCTCCTTTCTTACCACTCTCTCCTGGGGCTGACACTTTAGAACAGCACACAATAGCATAAACCTGGGGGAAGCATGGGAAATAGTAGCTTGAAACTAGAAGGTAAAAAAGAAAGCTGCTAGGAAGTAGATGTTCTATAACTTCAAAAACACCTCTTCCAATTTTGTAAGAAATGCTATATAGGTTTTTCTTGGATTATATACAGACATATATATATATATATATATATATATATATATATATATATATATATATTTCAGCATAAAAAAACTCTAATAAAAGTCTAAAATAGTACCCAGTTTCATTAAAGAGCTTAAACCATCTTAACTGAGCTTTAGAACAAAACAAAAACAAAATAATCATTTTTTAAAAACTGCATGAAAGAAGAGAAATACCAAGCAGGATTCTTCCCTTCCATCCACTCACCAAAGATCTGGTGAAAAAAGTGAATGCAGGTTTCATGTTTTAGGGCAAACACAATGACCCACTTCTGTCCACGGAGCCATTCTCTGGGAGGCTCTGGATATACTGATTGATGGGGCATTATGGTTTGTCTAGCGAACCCTCACTACTTAGTTTGAGGAGTCTGTAGTTTCTACAGTACATCACATTTTCAAGTCATCTACACCCTATGGATATAATGGCCCCCCGCACGCATCTTTTTATAGGCATAGACTCCCAGATGAGATGATGGTAAGTTTCAGGGTCTTTGCCCCTCTTGATAACAAAGCTTTGAAGAAACATAGTTATTCCTTAAAAAAGGCATCTCAAACTCATCCACAAGGTAGTGGTAAGAATCCTGATGATTTTTGCTATGGCAATTGGTCTAACTCTTTGCCTCTGGGCCACCCTGGAGAAAAAGAGAAGGGGAAAACAATATCAATCCTCCAGAATGCTGGGGATGCCAGTATAATGATCCACAGATGTGGAAGTACTTGCCAATTCTCTTTACAAGACAGATTCGGTTTGGGAAACAATTACCACATCGCAGTTTGCCAGCCTTGACAGTTAGCAGAAATTCCATCTTGCTCTTAGAGTGTCTATTGCCTCTGATTATTTAACACTCCCCTGCATGGTCAGGCTCCCAATAAGGAACTCATTAGCTCCATCTCATTTCAAATCCATTTCAGGGTTTTCTTTCAGTGTCTAAGAACATGGTAAGGATTTGGCTTGTAATCATATTTCTCAATTTTAAGATGTTCTAAATATACATTCTCTTCTTAAAACTTTCTGTGGATTCTTAATCACTCCATTATATGATTTTTCTAGTCAATTTATTTAAAGTGATTCCAACATGGGCATCCTTTTATTTTTTCCCCTCTAGCTTTTTAAAATTAGATCAATGATCCATTAATAAGAGGAACGATCTTTAAATATTGTTTGCTCCTGCCCTGTCCACCCCTATTTCCAGTTTTCACTTTTGAACTTTCTATTTCCATAAAAAGACTGTATAAATCAGCTTTTTGCTTGGGTACATAGTCCTTTGTCCCCTGAAATAAAAGTTACCATGAAGTGCAGTGGGTTTAGCCTGAAGCATCTCCAGTAGTGAAGTGGAAAGGCAAAGGAAGGTGTGAGTAATAAAACTGGAAACCCTCCTTATTCAAGTCTCTGAAAAGCAAGGACTCTATCTTGCTGACATAGTGCTGATATAAGGAATGGAGAGCCCAGAGTATTTGCTTTCCTCATCTACCTGCATATGCTCGTAGGGAGCTCTGTAGGGTAAAGAATCTGTGAAGCTCTACCCTTGCCACATCGGCACCGCAGAATCCACCAGCACGCCTCCCTGCACACGTAGACGATGTATACATGCCCATGACGATGTATCACAGACCTAGAAACCAATGGCAAGACCGTGTAATCTACTCTTACAAGTAGAGTCTCAGGGCTAAACCAGAATTACTTTTACAGGGTTGGATTGTTTCATAGCCCCAGAGAACACTCACTTTCACTAGATGTATGTGGAAACAAGCAAGCTGCTCCCTCCAAAGCAAAACACAATTTTCACTCAGAAATAAGTGCTAACTCTGCCTGTTTTTCCTCAGTGGTACTAAATCCTGTAGTCCTGTGCAATTGTTCAAGTGTGTGAGTGTTTGGATCTTTGAGTGATTATAATCTAAAACAAATAGTCATTGTTTTCTCCTTAACCACTGTTTTCTGCTTGGGTAATCAAGATTCCTGACATGCTCCACCAGCTGGACCACCACAACCCTCCACTGTAACCCTCAGTCCTTGGCAACTGCTGATTACAAAAAGATTTTACGGAGTGTGGTCCCTTTACAGCAAAACCAAAAGCACCTATGCAATTTCACACCCTAAGGGGGATATTTTATTGATATAATTCCCACCAAACAAGCCTATTTATGTAAGCAGCAGTACATTTGCTTACCCTAAATTATATTCAACACCCACCTCATCACTCATTGTGCATATAGGTTAGACTGCCGTGGTCTCTATGAGAATTCATCTAGAGCATTAGACATTTCTCACGTCTCTAGATATATATTTATGGATAGTTTAGCCTCTTCTATTCATTCTAAACTTCATATGGGAGATTTATTTTAAGGGTCCTGAGCCTGATTCTATAAAATTTCTGTTCTCATTAGTAATGACAGAGGTGGTACTAATCTGATTTCTATCCTCTGTTAGCCCCAGGCCCACCGCAAGGTAGCAGGAGCAGGATAGGAACAAAAGAAATAGATTCTTCCCTTTCTTAGTTCATTATGACTTATTTATTGAATGCCCAGTACTCCAAGGGTTGCACTAGACATGGGCTGTACACATATAAATTATACCTTGTTCTTGCCCTTGGAGGGGCTCAAAGTCTATCAGGGGAGGTACATATTGTTCTATAGAACGTAGAGCGAAGGTCCTGAACAATCATTTTTGCAAAGACTTGGCTAGACACACAAATGGATAAATTTTGGGAAGATATTCATAATTTTTTCTTGTATATTCTACCTTCAATAAACTGCCTTGCTTCTCTTCTTCAAAGCAAATACCTATCTATTCAGATACTTTCCTATAGAGGGAGATGGATTAACTCTTTAGGAACAGCAGGAAATGATGGTCCTTGTCTGTAAAGTACCTTGGAGGAAGCCCAATTCTCTCCATTCTTGCTTCATTTCAGTTTCGGGTATTCTGAAAATCCTCCTTCCCATCAGTCAGACCTGACAGTTGATGGCCTGGGGACTCTCTGTGGGATAGGGACAGCAATCTCCACTTCCACTCCCCTCCTCCTCTTTTTTCTGTTCTTTCCAAGCCATGTGTTTATGACCTCTTGTGTCTCATTTGCTCTTCTGAATGCCCTTTAAGGTGTCTGCTGTCCTTTCACCCTTCCTAAAACCCTTCTTTGTCCCCACGAACAATTTGACTCTACTTAAAATGATCTCTGAGAACTAGATGAAGTATCTTCAAGTAAATAACTGACTAAAGGTTGTTGTCCATCTAAGTGAGGTCTCACCTCTGTGCCCTGAGTGAATTTTTCCAATCCAGAAAGTCACACCTGTCTCTTCTCTGCAGGAAGCTCATTCACTTAGAGGAGCCACACTGGGAAGCTAAAAACAAAGTGTCTTCTCCAAGATATTCAGGGAAATAGAAACCAGGCTGTTGAAATCTTTCTTAAAAAAGCCTTGACAGTTTGTCCACCAATGCCCTGGGTTCCTTTGAATTCCCCCATAGCTGCAATCCATCAAATCCACATTGTAACACCAGCCTGCCAAGGGGAATTTGAGACAGTGTGTAGCTCTGCTACTCATTTTTCTTTAGCCTAAAGGCTTTGACATACTTAGGCTTCAATTGTCCTACACGTCGCAAGTGGATCAAGTAAATAAAGAGATTTCCTTGTTTTTGCAGATGTGAAAGTGGTTAATGGAATAAGGTGTAAGCAAACCCCAAACTTTCAGAATACATGGAGGATAACTGAGTGCTATTTCATGTCTCTCATGCAGTTTGAAAATGTTTTCTTGAAAAAAAAACACTTAGTGTAATTGAATTTCTTCCACATACTGTTCTTGTTTCTTTCTCAACCTATCCTCTCTTCCCCTCAGCAACCCTCTTACTTAGTGAGCATATAGTTTGTAGATTTGGGTGTCTCCAATTTTCATCTCTGCTCCCACAAATCCTGAGTAGTTGAACCTCTTAAAGGGAAAAATAGTATAAACAGACACGTACATAAAGACTTTGTAAAATAGGGCTGTTAGCCCAAGTTTCTCCAGGCTGTCACATATACACATCTGTCAGTAGGGATAGATTTCCTCTTGAGTTGGCAATTGTTTGAAACCTTCATATGAGGTTTTAATATTGAACTCTTGCTATGTTTGAGTGATTTTTCTCTTATTTTGCACTAAGGTACTCTGAGGAAGAACAGAAAAGCACATTTTTTTAGTGAAATATTGTACTTTGTAAGCTAGTTGTCTGTCTTTTGTAATGTTTATAGACTACAAAGTGGCTGAGCAGACATGAGCAAGGATAAAGGCAAAAGTTGGTGTTGGTGTTTTGACCACACCTGCTGAGAACATGCTAAGGTGGAGGAGGGAATCTGTGGCAATAGTTGGTGGCCGTCTCAGGTGTGGAGGGTTATTGCTCCCATCACAGATCAGTGGCAGCAGCTCTTCCCACTTTTTTGGCTCCTAATTCAGGAGTCCCTTCAGTACATTTAGATAATTGTCTTACACATTAGGGAAAGAGGCAATATCATGGGGTATGCATGAAGAATTCATTACCCACCTTTGCATGACATTTTTTTTTGACCCTTCCCAGCCCTACACCAACCACATTTTTTTTCTTTTTCAGTATTTTTATTTCATCAAGATTTTCCCAGGATGCTTTAGTGCTATCACCACAATGATATACCCTGCTCAGGTTGAACACCCAGACACAATTTTAAGGGAAATAAACTGTCAAAAAACTCTTTAGATCCACTGTCCTGAATCAAAACTCACATATGTGGAAGGCTGGAGGTCCTGAAATCAGTCTAGGGGTCCTTCTTTCCCCTTCGTTGGTCCTGCCATAGGATGACACATTATAAAAACATGTGATACTCTCCATCCCTAACAATGAATACTACCAGGAACCCACCATCTAACACTACTTGGGAACACTGGCTTTCTCAATCATTCCCAGTGACACACAGAAAATTTTACAAAATACCAGGATAAAATTGGAAAAGTAGTACTAGACCATG